CAAGCTGCCTTAACAGACACCTGCACTCTCTGCAGGACACAAGGCCAACTTTCCTTAATGAGCATATTTACCACTGTCATCAGAAAGGTTCTTTATTTTGTAAATGTCTATTACAAGGCAGGCTGACTTAAACAAGGAGAGGTTTCGAGTGTATGTGCTATGACAAGGAAGATGTTTACACTGAAATTATATATAGTGATACATAATATTCCTCTTAGAAAAATTGTAAAAAACAGAAAATGTAAAGGTGGACATTTAAATTACCAGACTAACCACTCAGAGAAGCTTAGTCAAACTTTGAACAGAATTGGGCAAAGGCTGTTTAGAAGCAACAGTCCTTCACTGTGTAGTGAGATCATCTGCATAATTTGCTTAGCAAATGTGAGCCCCTTGTGTGCCAAGCCTGCTCTAGCAGAAGTGTGGCTCTGCACAGAGCACAGAGGACACTGAAAGGACAATTATTGGTCTTTGGTTGACCAGCACGCTTTCTCACTTCACTGGATATTGACAATTTAGTAACCTGAACTTCCTTTGGGGAAACAGCCCTTTCCACTCCTAGTTCATGTGGTTTGGGTGGGACTAAACCCAACCATCCCAAAGTAAGGATGACCTAGAGGTAAGCCAATCAGTGGGTTCAACTGCAAGGGTGATAATGATTCCTTACGCTAGGCCACTACATGTCAAGGACAGTACTTTGGTTAAAAATGTTGACAAGACAGATGGATTCTATCACTGAGCATTTGTAAATAAAAAGAAATGCTCAGTGATAGAAGCTGTCATGATGAATTGGTTGTTATATCGGTTTATGGTGGCCATGCTCTGTTCCTTCCCTGTGCCTCACTCAATCATGGCCCTTCCCACTCAGTACTCTGCTCCCTGATGTTTCTGTCTCCCCCATCAGATGGTCGGCTCTTTCTAAAGCAGCAATTTTCAACCAGTTTCCCAGAAGAACTTTTAAAACATGCAATACCAGACTATTTAGACAGGGTCACTAACCTACTTGCCCTTAGGTCAGCAAATAAAAGATGACAATAGCCAACACAAACAGTCATCTGGTGTAAATGTCCTGTCTTAAACTACAAACATAGAGGTCATATAATATAGTTGCATCTTATTGGCCCCCTTGAATAACATGGTTGTGTCTGATTGGTAAATTCTTGGTACCAGCAATTCTTATACAGAAGTGTAGGAACCTGATCATTTTGGAGCAAAAAGGGTAGGCAATTATATTTTTTTGTAAATCAATCAAAGTTTTACCTCTCTTTTTTGTTAGATAGGCAAAAAGTATATTTTTAGTGTACCACAAAATTTTAGTGATTAGTTTATGTGTGCCATGAGATGAAAAAGGTTGACAATTCTGCTCTAAAGGAACAAGATACATCTCTGATATGTGTGCAATTGGACAGAGAAGGGCCTAAATACACATGTGCAAAGGATATTATCCTGATGGGCTTAGTAGCATGGAGATGAGGCATTGGTTGTTCTCTCACTGGGGACTCAGTTTTCTGGGCTCTAGTACCTCCACTGGTTGATATCACATCACACAGGCCCCATCTTGCACCCTTGGGTTTCTGCTCAGGGCTGGATGTACTCTAATATCTGCTCTGAGTCATCAGCTGTGGGTACTAATGCGGTCACTGCATTCTTCGCACACAACCACACAGAGACCATCATCAGGCAGGAGGTGGGGGGGCGGAGATGCTTCATAGAAAGCCTTCTGGGATGAAGCACTATAAAACCAGAGGGGGACTCAGGCCACAGAGCCCACACACACCTCCTTCTTCTCCTGGGCGTGAAAACAGAGCACAGAGAACCACCAGCAGCTCTGACCTGAGCAGCCTTCCTGGGAAGATGCAGCCACCCCTGCTCGTGCTCCTGCTGGCCTTTTTCCTGCTCCCCTCGGCAGAGGCCTGGGAGGCACC